TTTTATCCCCTGGAGACCTGCTAAATTAATCTGCATCTTCTGAGAGACTCGGAGAGCCCACTGCTCCACATTACTCAATAAAGAAAAATGATCAAGCAGTTTCCAAATTAAGAGAGCACCATGCCAATTTAGGAACCAAAGAAACATATGACTCACTGAATAGCCTAAACATCCAGAATGTGTTTGAGATTATTTTTAGAGTGTGAATTATTGTTTCCTCAACTACATGTAAATAACACCCAAATCAATCACTAAATCAGCTCACTTATTTAAATCAATTATTTGGACTCCGTTGTTTCCATCAGGATCCCCATGGGAATAATGTTCTCTCCTTGAGCAATTAGCAAAGAGCACTGAGGCTTCCTCTTCCAGTGGGACCAGAAGATCAGGGCTCAGAATCAAAATCAACTCAAAACTACTAGTTGTTGTTAGTTGCTATATAGATGCACATGTAGCGAGCAAATGCTCTGAGATCAGCACTTCATGATTTATTAGCGTAAGCCTTAAACTCAATCAAACTGGCGAAGGCTCCACAGATCAGGTACACAAGAGCTGACTAATGAATTTGGAGGCCTGCACAACAATACACACGGGTGTTATTTGCATTAATGAGGCATGGGGTCTTGGTTAAGCAAAAGTGCAGTTATTGTGGCATTGTTAGATAAGAAAACCGCCTTCCACTTCACCTGTTCATTCAGCCCAAGACACCAACACCTCTCACAGTCAAATGGTTAAGCAGAGCATAAAATGTTAACATGCCACTTCTTGATTCACTAAAGGTCTCAGCAATCCAGCATCCGTGTTGCCTGAGCACTGAATACACTATGCACCGATATGGAAATTCTGGCCAATACCAACAATACTTTTGATGGCATGACAGATAATCAAAAATGGTAGATACAAAATTCTGTCATCTTGATTTAAAAAAAAAAAAGAATTACAAAAATAGTTTTGAATACTATAAATGAATTGATTGCTGAATACATCAGGGATGCACTAATATGGAAATGTTGGCTGATGATACCAATAATTATTTTAATGTCATGGAAGATAATTAATAAATGGCAAATACTCTACATAATTTATATTCAATATTTTTTGGTAAAAACAAATAATAAAAATAAAATTACACTAAAAATAAAATCAATAGTTTGAAATGCTATAATTGAACTGATCACTGAATGCACCATGGATGCATCTATATGGAAATTTTGGCCGATGCCTATAATTATTTTGATGTTATGGCTGATAATCATGCCAGATATACAAAACTGTAAACTATTTTGGTTAAAATTAAAAATAAAACACACTAAAAATAAAATCTATAGTTCCAAAAGCTATAATTGAACTTATAACTGAAAACCAATATGGACATTTTGACTGATACCAATATAATATTGTATTGGCTGCCATTAGATATAAATCTGCATTTTGTTAGGCTGATTACAAACAAAACAAACATTCACCTTAAAAGTCCAGATTTCTGCACAGGCTACAAATTACACCAAGCATCAAATAAAGTGGGAAACTTAAAACAAACACAGACCAACCATCTTTCTTTTATTTTTCATATGAAAAAAATAAATAATTATATATATATATATATTCGTGTTTAACAAAAGATGGGATGGATGCTTTAAGTTTTGGTAACACTAACATATTGGCCGATACAGATAAGACCACAACCCCAGAATACACTTTACATACCCAAACACTTCCCCCTGCTATTGGTCAAACAAACAGACCGTTCTGCCCCCTTTTGACCCAACTATACACGGCTGTGAAATGGCATGTTCTTGATGTGAATCTTAAAAGCCCTGAAGCTGGTGACCTGCTGTGACCTCAGAACAACAAATAAATGTGCTGTCATTTGATGAATGCGGCTGTAATGTGTACAAAACAGAACCGAAGAAGACATCCTGTTGTAGAGGGAACGAGGGAAATCGTCTGATCCAAACTAACCACAAACTGCACAAGAGACAAAAGGCATTAGAGACTTTCTCTCTTTTAGGCCCAAGTGTAACAGGAGTCCAGTTTCTGGCAGAGAGAGAGCAATGCTAGCCGAGTACTGCTCACATTACAGTCTGTTCTCACTTTAGAGTTATTCTCCATCAACAGGACACCTTAGAGGAGGTAACTTTTCTACGAAACCTACATCTAAAGTGTCTATATATGGAGCATACGCGACCACTCCATAGTTTGAGGTCTGGATGATTTTTCTTTAAAGAAATTGATACTTTTATTCAGTAAGATGCAATCATGGTTTCCACAAAAACTGTTTGCAGCAGTGATGATAATAATTCATATTTTTGAGCACCAAATCAGGATATTAGAATGATTTTTGAAAGATCGTGTGACACTGAAGAGTAACGGCTGCTAAAAATCATCACAGAAATATATATAAAATATATTAAAACAGAAACAGCTATTTTAAACTGTAGTAATACTTCATGATATTATTGTATTAGTGTATTTTTAATCAAATAAATACAGTCTTCGTGTGCATAAGAGAATTCTTTAAAAACATTTAAAAATCTCACTGACCCCAAGCCTTTGAACAGAATGTTTTCCTTTTGTTTGCAGTAAAAATGTGTGCACAGACAGCTCCATCTCTTCAAATGTCTTTACTAAAATCCTCTCGGTACTAAATCAATATAGAAGCATTTTGGTGTTTGGTTTCATAAAACCAGTGTCTGAACAATCCACATAATCACGACATTTTTTACAAAGTTAGATATTGCATAAACCAATGGCTTGTGTCCATTCTTTAATAAAATCTTGTCAATCATTTGGTCAGAGATAAAGGGTTAAGGTTAAGATGCTTTTAAACAAAAATCCCAAATTAACATCTATCAATTATCGCTCTGAAATATTTCAGAGAGAAAGGTAATCAGCACCATCAGCATCAATCTTCATAATATGTCGTACACTCCCATAAGCCTCTGTCCCTGACCTTAGGTCATGGTTGTTAGTTTCTTGTTTGGACTCTCATTTAAATATAGCTATACAATACAGGTACAAGCTATTTACAAATCAATAAATGTAGACTTATAAAAATGGTCATTTCAGGTGCAAATGCTTGCAATGTAGGCCGGCCTAATAGCTTTTTTCCCATCTATCATGATAACAAATCTTTAATTCACCGGAAATGTTTTGATATGATATTTATCAATGCAGAGAAAGTCTAACCCTCAAAACATCCTGTTAAAATTGCTTTAATATTTCTTGGGTGAAAATTACACCACATCATTGACCATGCAATGTGATTTCAATGAATTTGTTTTAGTTTGTAAATGTCTTTTAGAGAACACAGATTCAAAACAAGGCAATTACCCAAGCTGCCATTCTCTGTGGTACACACAGAGCCATAGCTGTGTCTCCAAATCTAGTGAGCTGCCTATCTAGACAGCACTTCATGGTCATCCCAAAATGCTGTCTACATAGACCGCTCAGGGGTGGACTTTCCCATTAGGCAAATGTAGGCGACCGCCTTGCGCCCCCAAAAGCCAAGAGCCCCCTAAAATGCTTTTCATAGGATATGCGCATTAAGTGCTGACACGCGAACGGTTGCTGTTTATGGTGTTTATTACCACGACAACCGTCCGAGTTGAACGTGCTTTTTGTGTATCCTGCTTGGAGATGAAAATATTATGCATCTGAAGCTGTAATTAAATAATTGAGAATACAGTCTGTATTATGTGTTTATAATTGTTTTAAATGCCACTTACTCATTTATGAGAAGGAACCAAGTAGAGGACACATACGCCATTACTTTTTTGGTTGATATAATCCTTAGGTGTGTAAATGTGTAATTGCCTTTTCATTATTTTTTCAGTTTTATTTAAATTTTGTAGTTAAAATAATAAATGAATAATAAATAAAATAAAAATAAATGTATTTTGAAGTTTAGAATTAGACAGCCTTTGCACACAGGCTTAGCTGGCAACTAGTGGACTTTCCTCTCAATATAGGCTATATTTTTTCACACTTTTCTCATTCAATATTTCTGGCGTTCCAAAAGCGCCTCCTACTGGCAGAGAATGAACGTTCATTTTCAATAATCCAGTCTGTAGTTTTTGTTCAGACCAATGTGAAAATCCCACATGACCCCGTTTTAAATTAATATAATAATTTATACTTCTGACTCACCCCTGGTTTAAACGCTCAATTGTGAGCTTTATCGTTTTATAATTTGTTTTGTTTTTGTGAAAACCTGTCTCTCAACTGTAAATCAGTTGCTATTTCGGGGTCTACAGCATGAAAGAAAGCCATTATAACATGTACATGAAAATAATGTAGAAACATTGGACACAACTATGGGGCACCATTGTGCAGCAGCAAGTATCACAACAAAAAAGGAACCTCAAGGTTAATCTAGGAAAATTTGTGCAAATGTATTGGGCCCCATTCCTATATTTTACCTGGGGCCCCCAATTAACTAAATCCGCCCCCGAGACAGCTTACTAGACTATGAGCAGCATCCCATATGTAATCATTTTCCTGTACAATATATGTGTGTTAACTTTAAGCAAACAGAAATGATAACCACAACAAAAAAAAACCTTTAAAAAGACTCTCTTGGGTAGCACGACATCGTGACGTTTCCAAAAAAGAGTGCCTGACACCGTCTAGTGTTTTTTTCTCCCCTGTATTATATGATCTACGCCTACATTCATCTAGGTTGTATATTAATTAAATTCGCAAATGTGCACATTTGTAAATCCTCGAGCAGTCCACCATCCATTTCATCACGCAGATGACACATTTCACGAGCACACCATCAACTCCATCCGACGGAAATATGCGATTGCTCAGGAAGACGTCATGAATTTCGGGAGGAAACATTAAAAATGCAACGTTTTTTTCATCGTCCTTACCAAATGTTTTCGTGCACAGCCTGTAAAGGATTTGTAGAAGGACCTGGATGCCAATGAAAGCTGTGATGAGGGTTGTTGTGCCTCCAGTACTCATTTCACAAAATACAAATAACAGAAATGTACCTGATCTAACGGAAGGTTGGTTATCTCGCTTATTGGCTGCAGTAAGTTGGATCCGGTGCAGGCTGATATCGTCTCAGTAGCCATGTTTCGCTATTGTATTAGTTCTGTGCTGTTCTCTATGACAGTGGCAGCCCAGCTCGCCCTGATTCAATCCCACACTCATCCACATCCACATCCACCTCTGGAGAGACTGTTGCTGCTTGCTGCTGTCCACTGCTGGTAAAACAAGGCAGTACAACACCCCACAGTCCGCCAAACGCATTTACAAATCCTACTACAGTGAAGGCTTGACTCATGAATATTAATTATGCAACTTGCGTTCCGTCGATCTGATTGGCTGAAAGGTAGACGTTGGTAAGGGTGCCAGACTTCACTTTGATGGGAAGTCCGACTCATTTCCGCGAAACTTTCGAAAACTTCCTTTAAATTAACTTCCTCAGTTTTTTTTTCGTTTTAATGAACGGTTCTGAAAGGTTGTTTTGTTTTAATGGACGATTCAGCTGTTCTCGTTACAGCTGTATATCTGTTCAAAAGGTACATTATTCTCTTGCTCCCCGGCATGTGATATATTGTCATTGTTACATCTGTTTATAATAAAATAATAATAATAATAATAATAATAAAGCTGTTCTCTTTACGCCATCATCTGCTCTCTCGTTTCCTGGCGATCTGAAATATATAAAATATAAAAGCAGTTATTGTGTTTTATTTTCAAGTTTTGTTTATTAATGTACTTTTATAAGATTTATGTTAATTTAATCATTTGCATTTACAATGAAACCAAAATTATGTTTAATGTTTTTCATTAATAAATTGCTATTTCGGCTATTAAAACAAACTCTGCTTCGTACATGTGTGGAGAGTTGTAAACATGTGCAGTATCCACCAGTACGTGTTTTTGCAACGTTTTTGTTGTTTGGTTAGAATGTAAATTGTTAAATGAGTTGGTGAAACGGAAACATGTAAATTTTATACTATATATGCATATATAGTATAAAATTTGCAACATTTACACATACATATATGCTACAGAATGATGAATGCTCATACATACAGTATGCAAATGAAATGTTGACACGCCTATATCAAATATTAATACATCTACGTAAACAAAACAAGACAATGCAGACATTAAAAAGGATGGTGTAGTATAAAATGGTAGTACTTCTCCATTGCACTAGATGTCACTGGGTACGCTTATCCAATAGAGAAAACATGAAGCAGAAAATCACATCATTTGATTGGTCAGACGGGATCACGTGTTTCGCATTTCCTCTCGTGATGTGTGTAAACATTGCACATGCACGTTGATGTGATTGAATGTGGCGAAATAATCTGGCAGCGTGTAGCGACAATGGTGAAGTGTGTGGTCCAAGGATGCATAAACCACAGGGATCTCAGACCGGGAGAGCAATCGAGCCGTCCGCGCAAGAGGTTTTTCCGTTTCCCCAAAGACAAGGCCCGAGTGAAAGTGTGGCTGGCCGCTTTACGGGAGACTGAGCGCGAAATCACAGATCAACATCAGATTTGCGAGGATCATTTCCTGAGCCATCACATTACGCCGAACGGCATCAGCGCGGACGCCATCCCTATTATGCCCCCTTTAGAGGGACCGGTCTCCGGCTGGAGCTCGTGTGATGAGCTGGAAGAGCACTCGGATCCAGTGGAAGAGGTTAGAAGGGTGCAGTGCATATTCTGACAACCAGCTATATATATATATATATAGTTTGAAAATCATTCTGAATAAAAACAAATCTATTCACATTATGTTGTACGTTTGAAAATAAATAAATAAATTTGCATTTGTGACCCTGGACCACAAAACCAGTTATAATGATTTATACATCTGAAAGCCGAATAAATAAGTTTTCCATTGATGAGGGGTTTGTTAGGATTGGACAATATTTGGCCGAGGTACAACTATTTGAAAATCTGGAATCTGAGGGTGCAAAAAAATCAAAATGTTGAGAAAATCGCCTTTAAAGTTGTCCAAATGAAGTTCTTAGCAATGCATATTACTAATCAAAAATAAAATGTATATATTTACGGTAGGAAATTTACAAAATATCTTCATGGAACATGATCTTTACTTAATATCTTAATGATTTTTGCCATAAAAGAAAAATCGATAATCTGACCCATATAATGCATTTTTGGCTATTGCTACAAATATAGCCGTGCTACTTATGACTGGTTTTGTGGTCCAGGGTCACATTTATTCTTGGATTAACATTACTGTTTCATCCAAAATGATGTGATAAAAGTAATATTAAACAATATTACCTTATTGTTTAAAGCTTTTATTTGGCCATTATTACCTTCTGAGCTCCATATTAACTCTAAATATGTACAGCTGCAAACAGAAATAAAATTCATGAAATAAAATCTATAAAAATAAAATGTTTGCATCTTGTTTAAGAGTTATCAAGAAGAAGTAAAATACATGTGCTCAAATAGCTGGGGCGAGTTTGCTATTAAATACGTTGGGTAACGCTATGCAGTATCAAGTGTTATTAACCTTAATTTTGTCTTGAAAGGGTGGGGTTGCTGCTGAAGATGATCGTTATGATGTGGAGTTTGAGGATTTTGAGGAAAATGATGATGAGGACCACAGTCTTGCAGATGATGGTTCACATAACATGAATAGTCAAGTACAAGGACAGTGTCTCACTGGAAGGTAACACTACAATAAATAACTGCTACAAAAGGAATGTAACAATATTGATTATTTTTATTATTTATTCCCATTCATTATATAATGTCCTTTCTTTTAGTTTAGTCAGCTATCCCAACATTAACAATATGAATCAAGCAACAGGGGCATCCACCAGTCAAGGTATGGGATGTTCTCAAAAGTCTTTAATTCATTCACTTTCTGATGCTGCACAGAATTTGAATGTACTTTGACCAAAGGTTAAAAAATTCTCTCAATTTTCATTCCAGTTCCGAATCGCTCTGACGTTGCTCTTGGACGACTGACCAAACGCTTCATGCAGCTGCTTCACTCGGCACCGAATGGAGTCCTTGACCTCAATGAGGTTACTCGAAAACTGGGCACACGAAAGAGGCGGGTGTATGACATCACTAATGTGCTAGCAGGCATCCAGCTAATCAAAAAGACGTCCAAAAACAAGATCCAGTGGATGTAAGTTTTGACAGAACGTTACTTCCACAGTTCCACAACAAGATTTGGTAGTTTGTAAAAGTGAAATTTGTCCATTGAAATACATTAGTTGGAAGTGAGTCTAGAGGTTTGATTTACACAGTGATTTTTCTATACGTTCAAGGAATCCATCACCAAACAGCAGCTTGGGGAAGCAGTGGAGCGCCAAGACGAAAGCTGACCTACTTCATCTGAAGTCAACGGAGGAGGCCCTTGACTGGCTCATCAAAGACTGCGCCCAACAGCTCTTCGCCCTGACCGACCTCAAAGACAATGCTGAATATCCTCTCATATTTCTGTGATAGTATTTCTAACAAATGTTATAGAAGTTCTTTCAGTTGTTTTTGGTCTTAACTGCTGTTGTACCTCAGCTTATGTGACATATGAGGACATCTGTCAGATTGGTGTTTTCAAGGACCAGACAATAATAGCCATCAGGGCCCCTGAAGAGTCCAAGCTAGAGGTGCCCACTCCCACTGAGGTAAGTGTGAGAGACATACTGAAAGACTTTGAGCCTTTGGTGTCATTTTAAAATGTAATATTTAAATTAGTGCTGTCAAATGATTAATCGCATCCAAAATAAAAGTTTTTGTTTACATAATATATGTGTGTGTACTGTGTATATTTATTATGTATATATAAATACACACACATGCACGTATATATTTAAGAGGAATATGTTGTGTTTATATATGAAATATATTTATATATAAATATAAATATGCATGTAAATACATGTAAATATTTTCAAAATATATACGTGCATGTGTGTGTTTATTTATATATACATAATAAATATACACAGTACACACACATATATTATGTAAACAAAAACTTTTATTTTGGATGCGATTAATCATTTGACAGCACTAATTTTAATTAAGGCTGGGCGGTTTGACAGTATATTTTGGATCCATGTGTGAGGTCTTAAAGTGACAGAAGCTTATATTAGAAGCCTATATTATATCGTTTGCTGTTGTGATTGCCATGACAGGAGTAGTTCTTCCAAAAAAAAAATTTGACTCACCCTCAGGCCATCCAAGAAGTAAGATGAGCTTGTTTCTTCATCAGAACAGAACTGGAGAAATTTAGCATTAAATCACATTCTCACTAATGGATCCTCTGCAGTGAAATACCAACAGCTGATAAAAACATCTCAATAAACAACAAGTAATCCACATGACTCCAGTCCATCAATTCGTATCCTGTGAAGTAAAAAGCTGTGTGTTTGTAATAAACAAATCTATCTTGAAGATGTTTTTAACTTCAAACCATTAATACAAGTCACCTATCCATTACATTGATTTCTCCAGTGGAAAAAATTGTCTCGTCTGAATTGGGAGAAACGGTATGCACAGATCAAGCATAGTTTCTTGGCGAAAAACCTTTCTAAACAAATATGTTGGTGGATTTTGATGTAAAAGGACAACAGGGAAAGGACATTTGCATTTCATTTTGGTTATCTTGACCACCCCTTATTTGAATAATGATTAAAGGACACTCATCTGATAGCTGGAAGGAATATGTGTAAAATGAACTTATATTTACGTCCTGTTCTAGGAATCTATCCAGATCCACTTGAAAGGCTGCCGGGGGCCCATCCACATACTCACCTGTGAGACTGAGGGCCCAAGTGAAGCTGTTGATCCAGCTAACACAGAATCGAAGCTTGTCAAACCAGCCTGCTTTCTAACACTAGAGGAGAGCCGGATACACACACAACCATTAATATCAGGTTAGCCATATTCCACACTTGGATGCATTTTGGCTACTTACAATACGTTTATTTATTTATTTTTTAAGAAATTAATACTTTTATTCAGCAAGAAGGCAGTAAATGGCTCAAAAGTGACAGTAAAGATATTCATAATGTTACACAAGATTTTTATTTCAAATCCTGAATTTTCTATTCATCAATGAATCCTGAAATGTTTCTTGAACAGCAAATCAATATATTAGAATGATTTCTGAAGGAACATGTCACACTGATGACTTGGAGTAATGGCTGCTGAAAATGCAGCTTTGCTATCACAGGAATACATATTTAATATTTAAAAATATAATTTTAAGAATTAAATTTCACAATAATACTGTTTTTACTAATCAAATAAATGCAGCCTTGGTAAGCAAAAGAGACTTTCAAAAACAAAAAAAAATCTTACTGACTCCAAACATTTAAATGGTATTAGCTGTTAAAGAACAAAAATGTCCAGTCAACAAACAAATCTCAGTGCTTGTGGATAGTTATTTAGAAAAGTCCTACATTTGAGACCAGCAGTATGCAATGGACTCTATGCACAAGACGCAGCCTTCGTATCTCCGATTCAACAATGATTCATTTTTGAAGTATAGAACTGTTACAAATATACCCAATATCTCATTGTAGTAAAGGCATCCAGAAAGTTTAAATTTCAACGGCGGGAAGACAGTAGTGCAGCTGAGCATTGTTGTGTTCCATTGTGTTCGGCTTCCTCAAAGTTCAACTCTGTGCTGAGCTTTCACTCTTTCCCCATGGACGAAGAAAGATGCAAAAAGTGGATATGCAACATTCGACGCAAGGATTTAATCATCACTTCCCATATGAGAGTCTGCAGTCGTCATTTCAAGAGAGAAGACGTGAAAGAGCCGTCGACTCCTAAAGGGCGCCGCTTGCTGAAGAAAGAGGCTGTACCAACCTTATTCCAGTGGAACAACTACTCTGATCCAGCACCACTGCAGAGGAGAAAGGGTTCCACTCCAGTGGATGGAGATCCTGCACCTGTGGACCTCTATGAACATGATAATTGTTCAGTTCCTGAACTTGCAGCAGTTGATATTGCATTGGATAGGGCTGCAGAATGATTGACTGAACACGTTTTTTTGTTTTTGCAGATGTTTCAAATACTGTAGCAGCTGTACAGAGCGCTTAAGGACCTAAAAGAAGAGCCTTTGCTTATTTGAGACAAACTAGCCCATCTTAACAGACTTTGTTGGCCTTTTTGGATAGACCACTGTGCATATATTCACTCTGCCGGGTTAAAGACATCATGTGGAGATTTTTGATTTGTAAATATACGGATGAGTATTTTGAACAGTTTTTCTATAACCATTGAGGAAACTTGAAGGTTGTCTTTTGAAAAGGGTGATTTTTTTTTCTCTGACCATCTGACTATGCTGTAAATTAATAAAATTGCTGGTGGTCGAAGATAGACCTTGGACCCTGTTTCAATATGGCAAGATGTCCTTGTTTATTGGGGAGGTCTGAGATTTTTTTTTAATTTTTTTTTGGGAAGGAAATTAATACTTTTATTCAGCAAGGACACATTAAATTAATCAAAAGTGACAAAGACATTTACAATGGTGCAAAAAAATAAATGCTGTTCTTTTGAACTTTCTATTCATCAAAGAATCCTGAGAAAAAAAATATTGAATATTGATAATAATCAGAAATGTTTCTTGAGCACCAAATCAGCATATTGAGATTTTTGATTTGTAAATATACGGATGAGTATTTTGAACAGTTTAAAGTATTTTTTCTATAACCATTGAGGAAACTTGAAGGTTGTCTTTTGAAAAGGGTGATTTTTTTTTTCTCTGACCATCTGACTATGCTGTAAATTAATAAAATTGCTGGTGGTCGAAGATAGACCTTGGACCCTGTTTCAATATGGCAAGATGTCCTTGTTTATTGGGGAGGTCTGAGATTTTTTTTTAATTTTTTTTTGGGAAGGAAATTAATACTTTTATTCAGCAAGGACACATTAAATTAATCAAAAGTGACAAAGACATTTACAATGGTGCAAAAAAATAAATGCTGTTCTTTTGAACTTTCTATTCATCAAAGAATCCTGAGAAAAAAAATATTGAATATTGATAATAATCAGAAATGTTTCTTGAGCACCAAATCAGCATATTGGAATGATTTCTGGAAGATCATGTGGCACTGAAGACTGGAGTAATGCAGTCACAGGAATAAATAACATTTTAAAAGATATTAAAATAGTCATTTTAAATAGTAATAATATTTGACAGTATTGCTGTGTGCAGTCGAGCATAAGGGATTTCTTTCATAAATATAAAAAAAAAACATCTTACCCCAAACTTTTCAACTGTAGTGTAGCTATTGAAATGTGTAACAATACTGTGAACTGTTGAGCCACTACTTTGATATTCTGTCAGTTATTTTTGTGAAAATATATCTCTAGAGCTGAAAATAAACCAGTCTTTTAAATGTACAGAATTAAAAGGTTTAATGGCTTGTTCGGTAACAGAACTCGGAGAACATACTTGTATGCAGGCTACATGTCATTTAACTGCACTTGCAAAATAAGAGTTGCTCTGCAACTGATACAGATAAAAAGCTCTATAAAGATGAGAGTAAGGATCCAACAATATTACAGTTTATAAAAACAAATGGTCCCCATATAAAGCATAGCACTCATCACAGTTCATACATCATTTCTGCATTAAAGTTAGAGGTAATTGCACTTGGAATCGGAATAATTGATCAAGTGAGCTGTTTCCTGAGGTCTTATGTTTGTGAATGTCCCGTACGCCACCATCCAGCCATAAGGATGGTGACTAGTTACTCAAGTGTCTCAAGTTTCTGTCACAAAAAGCCTGTGATCTTAGTAAGACAGCAATGTATGACATCAGTCAGTGATGAAGTGAACAAACGAGACAGGAAAAACGCCCTTCCTGTTCGGCTCCCCGTCAATGTGGCCCACCTGCAGGAGTCATCAGGATCACACATGATTCAGTCAGCTGATTTGCGCATGTACTGTGTAAAAAGTATGACTGCGTACTCACCCACCACTCTTTGTCCTCCTCTCCATCCACTATTATCACCTCTCCTTCAGAGAAGGTCAGTTCATCTGGGTTATCAGCCTGACAGTTATATAGGGCCTTTACTCTCTTAGGTCTCTGTTTCTGAAACAAGTACAAATGTTTTAGATTTGCCACTGACATCACAATTACAGTTTTTTTCAACTGCTTACATTTTAAAAACTTTGCCTCTTTTTTTCAAAACTTTACACACAAATCCAAAAATTGCACACACAAAATGCCTCACATCTCTTGCAAAATAAAGCATTACATTCAAAATATCACAAAAGCAAACATTTGCAAACACCTTTGCCATAATATTGATTCCTGTTAGTGTTGTGTTTAGAAAAAAGTGTTTTATGAAATTGAAAACTCTAGTCAAAAACCGAGTATTAGTGTATGGTTTTGCAGATTTGGTGTGTGGTTCTGGTGTTTGTGTCGGGTTTCAGAAATTGTGTGACAAGTAACGATTGTGTGTGCAAGCAATTGAAAAAACTGTAATATGTATAATAAAATATCGAGTGACATTTATTTTAAAGAAAAATAACACTTCATGTTTGCAGATGTCACTTGGTTTGATATAATGTAATGCAATAAAATTTCACATTTAATTGTGGCTTGAATCTCAAAATATTTTTGGAGCAACTATATAAACATTTTTAATCTGTTTGAAAAAAATAAAAATCTACTAAATGAAAAAAAATAATGTCATTTCATTTAAAAGAAGGATTACGTACAAAATTTTGTTCAAGAATTTGAAGTAAATTAATTTTTTTATTAATATTTTTGAAAAGTGAAATAATAGAAATTTATATTTGTATTTAGCAAGTATGCATTAAATTGCTCAAGGTGACAGTAAAGACATTTACATGTAATGTTCCTATTTCAAATAAAAGCAGTTCTTTTTAACTTTCTATTCATCAAAGAATCCTGAAAAAATCTGTCACGCGTTTACAAAAAAAGCAACAATTTCAACATTGATAATAATAAGAAATGTTTCTTGAGCACCAGATCAGTATATTAGAATGCTTTCGGAAGGATCATGTGACACTGAAGACAGGAGTAATGGCTGCTATAAATTCAGCTTTGTCATTACAGGAATAAATTATATTTTAAAATATATTTAAATAGAAAACAGTTATTTTAAATTCTAATCTTTTTTTTTTTTACAATATTTCAGTCATTACTTGTTATTCTGATAGAGTGAACACAGGCTTTCAAAAACCATCATACCTAATCATACCTACACCAAACTTTTGAATGGTAGTGTACTTTTGAGGGGGAAAAATTATTTTAATGGCTGTCACTTACAGGTGGGGCCGTTCTGGGTTTGGGATTTGTCTTCTATTTTATTATCAAATACTAATAATATATATCAAATACTAATAATAAATGACCAGCAATTTTGCTTGATTTATTTAAATTAAAAAAAGCAGAATGTCTCATTATTTTCATGAAAAATTATTTAGATTTTTTTTTTAATTCAGTGTGAGTGTGTATGTGTGTGTAGTTTGAATTCCTGAGGTTAGAGCAAATTATATGAACTCTTACTAATGGAGGCAGATGCTTTTCCCCGCAGTAGCAGCTTCATACATTCACTATTGTCAGTCAAGCAGCAGTAGTGCAGCGCTGTGCTTCCTTTGGCAGTCTGCTTGTCTAAATTACCACTGCATACACAAACACATACACACACATTTGGACATGTAAAATGTCTGAATAATATGCATATAAAATATGAATAAAATCTTATTTTAGCTAAAATACAGAACATCAATGGAGTACCTGTTCTGTACAAGGAAGTCCACAATATGGAGAGAGTTCCGGTCCACCATTCGTACTGCAAGATGTAGCGCTGTCTCACCTGGTTCCTGTCAGTGAAAAGCAAAGATATATATATTATATATTATATTATTAAAAACATTTATTAAAAAAAGATACTGATGCAAAACACACTATATGTATTTGATTCACTGAAATGAACCAACCCATAAGAGTAATTTGTTCAAGAATCGGACTACACGGGTGGTGTTAGATGCTGTTTTTAAAAGAGAGAAAGAGCAAGAAAGAAAGAGCAGAAGAAATGGGTACATTTAGGGCATTTATTACACATTAACAGCAATACTCACTGAAATGGGGTATATACTGTACTGTAGATAAAAATATAAAGAATTATGTGTTATTTAATAAAAGTAATAAATCTATTTAATAAACATATTTTCATATACGTATATTAAAAAAATTATGCATGTAACAATTATAATTCTATTATATAAACTCTCAGAATTAATTTTACATACAGTCATTTTATTTATTACAATTCTATCATTTTAATAATAAATAGGTTTATATATATATACTTTTTATTAATACATAAACATTAAAAAATCCTTATGAAAGTGCCACTAAATGGTATTTTGAGATTATGTTCTTCCAACACGCTGTTGCCCTCAAACTCTGTAAAAATGGTGGAGCCAACCTTGCAAAAAAGGAGTTACACACATAGTGTTTGTTTTATTCCCCTACCATTCCATGAGAAATAGTCAATAATCCATTTTTCACAGTGCACTTCCTTTTCTGCCAAACCTTCCTCAGTCTGTAAGATGGAGAGAAGCCTTCATCACGCAAACTTTTTAAAAAGATGCGCTGGACAATATCATTGAAGTGGCAGACAAACTCACCCTTCGCTGCGTTTGAGGAGCATCCCAGAGCGCTCCGTGCCGTGAGCTTTATTGCCCTGCAGCTGGTGAAGACTATAGCCTGCATTCTGCTTTGACTGGAGGTCCTTTCAACACACAAACAAACAACACAACAAGATTTACCACTAAATCGTCCAATCAATCATGGTCTCCAAATATTTTTGGGCTCACCTCCTTACACTCTGACTGTAGGGCAGATTTGAGAATATCTCTCAGCTGCATTAGCTGTTTTCTTTCTGCATCTTGTGTCTGCTTGTTCTGCAATTCACACACAAGCAACAGCAAACATCAGAATATAAGAAATTAACTGCTTTGTCTAAATAAAGAATATATCTTCAAAAGTGCATACAGTAATATCAAAAAACATACTGCAGTTAAGTCTGTGGCGAGTTTTTCCATGAAAGGTTTCAGGTTGTCCACAACTTTTAACCCATCCTGGAAGAAACTGTGTGGAAACAGGAAACCAATTCTTTTAAAAGTCTAATTTAAAAATGAAATGTATTGTTACTAGGAGAGTATTATAAACCAACATACTTGCACTGGGCATGAAAGTATTTGATGAGGTTTTGGAGCAGATCAACTCCCTTCTTGACTTTAATTTCATTCACCTTAATGAGATACTAGGGAAAAAAGTATGAAACAATCATTTCAGTTGGTTTGTATTTCCATTAACTATTTGTTAACTAAGTTTCAAAAGAGTCATGATCAAAATGCAAAAATTTCTCTTTAACATTTAGTGAAAATGCATGATGATCACTGGCTGTCGTGTGTGTCTGTGTGTGTGTGTGTATGTTGGATGGGTGTACTTGTTTATGCAACAGGATAGTAAAACCTGAAATTTTTGACATTGTGTCTATGGAAAGTCCCCACAATTCACAGAAACAAACGTGTGTGTGTGTGTGTGTGTGTGTGTGCATTAAAAAAGCATGTCAGGATTTGAAGTTGGGTCACCTTGCAAAATAAACAACAACTCTAATACCTGACTTTTCTTTAGTCATGTCTTATATTACCAATGCAAGAAGTGAACTAGGACCATCACCGTTGCTCACTCAAAAAAAATAAAGAGATGCCCTTTCTGATGCTAGTTGTATGTGAACCACATTCCTTACTTCACACATCTGAAGCTGAAAGAGGCGTCTCTCTTTCTCCATCTCTTCTGCAATCTCTCCTCCGCTGATCTCTGTTCTGATCAGACCGTGCTGCTTGGCATGTTCCCGTTTTTCTTTCTCAATCTTGCCCCTGTATATAAGTTTAGAGCATTGACATGAAAAGAAAATTACAGCGTATGCACTTAACCATGCACCAACATTAGGCTTTCATCAATGCCTCATAATGCACAAACACACCATATGCCGGTGCTGTTGTTTACTTAAGGTATGGCCCCACATTATGATAAGCTCTTCATCTATGCTACAGGCCCAGGAATTAAAGGGATAGTTCACTTTTAAACTCAAACATCTGAAATGACTAAACCTCCTACTATGTAGTGCAACCTCCCCTTCCCCTGTATGCTAGATTCAAATATACTAATCTATAGTTATTACAACTTCGTTCAGAATGTGTTTTCTTGTGTGCATCATGCTGTAAGGAACAGGAATATCTCAAAGATATCCAATCACTAAGGGCTTCATGAGTGTCCAAGGCTTAAATTTAATGTTCACTGATCAATTTGTAACTATTACTTTTTTATACATATTCTGAGATTATTATAAAGAGGTTAATAGGTGCTTACAGTTTGGTTTCATAATCCTTCCATGCTTTATCAAAAGTCTTTTTCAGATCCTGATGAACAAATGAGAGCACAGTCAACATATGAAGAGACTTAAGGTCAAATATATATTTAAAAAAGCACAAACCACCATAACCATTGTATTTGTGAGAATTCACAAAATTAGAATGATTTTTGAAGGATCATGTAACACTGAAGACTGAAGTAATTGAAAATTGAGCTTTGCCATCTCAAGAATAGATTACATTTTAAAATATATTAAAATTAAAAAGTTATTTTAAATTGTAATAAAATGTCAGAATATGACTATTTTACAGCATTTTTATCGACCCCAAACGATTGAAAGGTCCATATTTGGTCACACTTTAGTTTAGGGACCAATTCTCACTATTAACTAACAATTAACTATGACTTTTGCCTCAATAAACTCCTAATTTGCTGCTTATTAATAGTTAGTAAGGTAGTTCTTAAGTTTAGGTATGTGGTAAGATTAAGTGATCTAAAATATGGTTTTGCAGAATAAAGCATGCTTTATAATTACTAATAAAAAGCCAATATGCTAGTAATATTCATGCTAATAAGCAACTAGTTAATAGTAAGAATTGGTCCCTAAACAAAAGTGCTACCACATATTTTTATACAAATATTTTATACAAATGTCACTGCATAGTTACCCCTTTAACTCCTTTAAGGTCTCCCTTTAGCAGACTGTCTAGTGGGAAAGTGATGATGTTATTCATGTTCTGCAGCTGTGGGCACAAAAGAAGACATTAGAAGTTTCAAAACAAAGTGTATAGTTTGTGTAATTACATACATCTGTATGAAAACGCTCTACATGTAACTCGTAAAGGCAGTATTTCCTGAAGAGTGCAGTCAGCTGCTTGCGAGCCACAGGCAAGACAAATACAGGCCTGAAATATTCATAGCAGAAAGATCTACAACAGATGGATGTCAGAGACTGGCTCACCAAGTTCTTAAAGAGACCAGTGAGCTCCTTAGTGAAACCAGCAAATCTGAGGAAGTAATCGGACATCTCAGGGTCATCTTTGTACACAGTGTTATCCGTAAACCTCTCCAGTGCCTGGATGTACTGCTCCTCATTCTCTACGTGAGCTGAAAACACACCGAAACAGTCTGTCAGTCATTTACTCTCCCCATTATTGTTATTATTATATACAAAAACCTGCTTGGTTATCATGGATACTTCACGCATTGCTCAAATGTCGCCTTATAAAGCTCATTTGTTTTTAATACACTTTGCTTGACCTTATCTCACTGGTTCATGCAGGCATGAGCAAACTCCTGTCATATGGGTCTTTTCCATTCCTACTGCTTGCAAAAAACATACTTCCTAGTTTACGAGTAGAGTGCTGTAGAAAAGAGCTTCGTAACCACACTCCCCAGTGGTGTGCAGTACAGATAAAGGCCAATAGGCTGTTTAAGATCTGGGTTACTATAAAGAGGAAACAACGTGCTAACAAAGTCTGCTTCCTGCAATGAAGGAAATTAGTAAGAAGGAACTGTCACCGATTTAATCATTTAAAAAATGAATTTATTATTATTTATTCGACTAGTTTTCAGAACCTCACAGGGTACTCATTCTGATGTCAATCTTTGTGTAAACCAATAATATTTTAGTATTATTTATATAATATTTTAGTATTTATTCATATTTTGAAAAAAAGCTTTTTTTTATTGTAGTTTAAGTTTTAGTAATTTTTGATGGGCTTTGGTCATTTTTATTCGTTTTTCCCCCCAAGATTTTTCTATTTATCTTTATTTTATTTAATAATGTTCTACTCAAACCAACAAACTGACATCGTAAAAATAAAGCCATTCCAGAAGGGAACCAAATTTTCCAATTTTGAATACAGATTATGAAGACAAACACACTTTTTCTCTAGATTAATTTGAATGGGTTCTGTAAATATGCTCTATTTTGATTTCATGCAGACTTCAACAATAACATTGCTGCAGTAAACTCTGAAAAACATTCCTGTACAGTATTTCAGAACAGGTAAGATTATTCAAGGACTATGATAATCGCTCACCAGCAACAGATTTAAAGAACAACTACAGATGCGACAATCTAGCTCTAAAGAGAGAGAGAGAGAAATAAGCAGGTTCTTGCTGGAACAGGTATCGGTGTTTCTGGTAGAAATGAAAGGAATGTGTGAGGTAGAGCACAAAACCTGCTTGCTAGAGTAACAATGACTTGAATTACACTGTATATGAAAGCAAAATCTTTGTCCAGGCTATTGTTATATATCATTTGGCACTGTTTGAGTAAATGGGCTTAATAGAACAATTATACTATTATTTATACAGTAAAAAAAAACAGTACTTTCAAAATCGATTACACAATAAAAGTGCAAAATTAGCACAAACCTGTTGGTTATTGATTAAGGCGTTACATATTTGTAATACTCACTCAGACCAGAGCTGTTTATAGCCTTGACTGACTTCTTTATTTTGTGCAGCACACTGCAGTCCAAATCCAACGCCTGCAAAACAACATGAATCATTTTCTTAGAGGGATGTTTTGTGCTGAACAGACCAGTTCTGAATACACGGGATTATTTTTTTTAAAAGTAAGATAACAAAGTGAAAAATTAGTTTATTTACACAATGAGGAACAAACTGCACCAAGACCTGCATCTTTACTTAACAGCTTTAAAATGCTTTACAATGGTTAAAAATGCTGCATATTCTACTCTCAGAAAAAAGGTACAAAAGTTGTCACTGGGGTGGAGGTTACTTTTCAAAAGGTACACCTTGTTACCTTATTTACCCTTAAAGGTGCATATTGGTACCTTAAAGATACATATTAGTACCTAAAGTGTATATATTAGTGCCCTTTGAAAGGATACCGCCTTAGTGACAGCTTTTATATTTATTTTCTGAGAGTGTAATGCATTTACATTTATGCATGTTTTTATCCAAAGTGACTTACATAAGTTACATTGCATTCTAGATACACATTTGATCAGTTCTTGCTTTCCCTAGGAATCAAACCCATGACCTTGGCATTGCAAGTGCCTTGTTCTACTGTTTAAGCTACAGGATTGACCAACATCTTTTTGTGCATAAAGCAGGTCAAACTATAATAACAAATGTAAAAAGCATTTGTAACCAAGTTTTGTACAGCATTGTGTTTATACTTCCCTCTCACACACGATTGAATTTACATCCAGCCTGTAATTTAGCCACCCATCACTCACGCTGAATCACGCTCTGGGAATTTTGCACAAAAAGAGCTGAGTGAAGTAGACAGACTTGTGCTCTTAACTCTATGTTTATGCAGGAGTCATGTCTGGTACGAGACCGAGACAAAATCATCTGATGAGGGATAAGCCCGGTGCCTGCCAGCTGACAACACTCATACATTTCCGGCTGTCACAGTCTGTCTGACATTGAGTATTAAGAACGTTATGATGAAACATTCACTACCATTCAAAGGTTTGGTATCAGTAAGATGTTATTTTTTATTTTTCTGAGAAATTTATATTTTATTCGGTAAGGATGCACTAAATGACGGAGCCCGGGAAGTCACCTGTTGGAGAAAAAAATTAATCTGTGGCGACAGTTTTGCAATCCGTCCCCTCAGTTTATAACCGTACTCACGAATTCTTAAACTGTTCCCTCGGTTTAACAAATCGTGCCCACGGATTAATAAACCGTACCCACGAATTTCCGATCCGTGCGCTCAGATTTTGTAAACCGTACCTTCGGTTTTAAACATTATTTTTCATAGTAGCCTATGAGACCATGATCCACACTCACAAAATAGTCTTCTTTTTAGCGTTTATTTTATATTAATCACCAATAGGATAAAACACCGCCTGTGTTTTATATCCTAAAATAAACGCTAAAAAGAAGAATAGAAAATGTCCTGAATTTTCTAAAAAAAAAACAAAAAAAAAAACGATAGAGTTTCGAGAGAAGAAGGTAAAAAGCAATACAAAACCAATAATGTACCGGTTATGTTGACATTCCTTTGCTCTCTAACTGAATGCAGTGTTATAATAGGCCTAGTTATTTAATAATAACTTTAACAGTGAAGCATGCATCTAACTCTGGGGGGGAAAGCTTAGTATAATAAAATCCCCTAAATAAGTCTGTGAATGAATGAATGAATGAAATATGTTAAGAATGAATAGTACACAAACACATTTCCAAAACTGTAAAAAGTTATTTAAAAATAAAGCATTCATTAATTATTTTATGACAAACATTTTACTGTCTTAAGTGCACTCATTTATTTAGCCTATAAATTAAAATAATAATAATAATAATAGCTATTATTATTATTATTATTATTATACATTTAGGTTACATATGCATTTAGAGGAAGCTTTTATCCAAAACGACTTACAAAAGAGGAACAAATGACTCCAAAGTCAGTCACAATGCCAGGTTTATTATACAATAATAATCAAGTGCTACGATTATCACAAATTAAACAAGATTTTGATGCACATCTTTCTTATTAAATCGTTGTATTCCACTTCGTACCGTTACAATTGATAGAGAATCACTTTAGACAATTTGCTGTAGGCCTATTCCACATAATAATATGCAATAAAACAATATACAATATGATTCTTTAACACATAGGCTACCTAGGAGCTTGCTACATGTATCCGTGAGTACAGTTTACAAATCCGAGGGAACGGATTGTGAAAGCGTGCGCATGGATTATGAATTTGTTTAACGGTTTACAAAATCTGAGTGCACGGATCATAAATTCGTGGGTACGGTTTATTAATCCGTGGGCACGATTTGATAAACCTAGGGAACAGTTTAAGAATTTGTGAGTACGGTTTATAAACTGAGGGAACGGATTGCAAAACCGTCGTCATGGATTGTTTTGTTTTCTCCTACAGGTGACTTACTCCGTACTAAATGGACCAAAAGTGACAAAGGTAAAAAATTATAATGTTACAAAAGATTTCTATTTCAGATAAATGTTGTTCTTTTGAAATTTGAATTGAATGAAGAATCCTGGAAAAATGATCAAGGTTTACACAAAAATTAAGCAGCGCAACTCTTTTCAACTTTAAAGAGTTTGAACAGCAAATCAGCATATTAGAATGATTTCTGAAGGATCATGTGACACTGAAGACTGGAGTAATGGCTGATGTAAATTTAGCTTTGCCATCACAGGAGGAGTAAATAAAATGTTTTCAAAAAAATGTCATCATTATTTTAAATTGTACTACTATTTCACAATATTTTGATCAAATTAGTGCAGCCTTGGTGAGAATAAAACAAGAGCACGAAAGAGATTTCTTTCTAAAACATGAAGTAAGCATCTGTTTATTATTAGTAAGTTTTCAATATGGAAACATTAAACCTAAAGTTGTGAGAAAATACGGATACTCTCTGCCAACATTTTCCTCACTGAAACATATGAAGCTTATACTTCAGTAAAAATATACTAGAGACAAAAAAGAGCTTCCATATTTAATTATACTTTTTTTAAAATAAAAAAGTAACTTTTTTATTAGCTTTAGGAATTGAATGATGTAATTAAGTAACATTCATACAAAAACCTTTGTAAAGTATTCTGTTTAACCACAGTTTTCTCAGTGTGGAGACGCCTTTTTTACAATGGAGAATCATTTTTGTTATTTTCAAATAGTTAAAATTAAAGACGTTTTTATAATTATAGCTATAATTTTTATAATGAAATAATCATTGGCTATACAAGTTTATTCAGGACTTTAATTTCATCCACTTGTAAGCTCAGTACAATGGGCAGAAATAGGAAAGACTGTCAAGATGACCTGCAAAAAAAGAAATCCACTTGATAATTTTAAAAGATACAATATTTAAAAGTACACCTTACACCCATATTTACATCTCTAGGCTGTTCAAATGCTATACTTTTTACAAATTAGCCTTGTATGAAAGGACTGTACAGTCTGAGCTCACTGGTTCACAAAAATAATAAATAAACAAATAACAGAGAGTGACCGAACAGGGCCGCAGACCCATAAAAAAAGCTGTGTAAAAACAGTGAGCAGACAGACGTGTGTGTGTGTGTGTGTGTGTGAGAAGGAGATTAGCTGGGACAAGCTGGGACAAGAAGTGGGACAGCCATCCCGCCTTAGCCTTAAGGAATGAGAAAGATGAAGGGAAAGAAAGAGAGAACAGAAAGGGTGAGAAAGAGATGAGAGATATTAACTGCACTGGGGTTTCCATCAAAGGCAAGTCTCAGCAGGACACCAAGACTAATTTATAGTATTTACTGAAGCAATGTTCTGAAGTTAGCACACATTCTGTAATACAATTATACAGATACAGACATAATTGCGCACTACGCGCTAGTCTGTAAATTGTGTTATACTGTGCATCCGTATTATTGACATTGTAAAGGTGTTTTACCTCTTCCAAAGCGCCGACTGTATTCCTACAGTGAGCCATGCGCGTACAGAACACTGATGTTGTTGGTGCTTTATAGTCCTCATTGGTAATGTCCATAAACTCCGGTACTGTCAGTTGATCAGGCATGATTATTCCCTTTAAATCAAGACTAAACCCAAGACGAGAAACATAAAATGTGTTAAATGTTGTACTTTTTAAAAAAGTCCGCCCAAAACCCGTTTCAAACTCAGTTCGTGTCAGTCATTCCTTAAAATACTTCGTTTAAAAAGTTCCGTATGGAGTCCAAACCGATCAAAAAGAAAAAGAGGGAATGCGAAGTTAATTCGACTTTGAAAAGGAGAGTTGAACAGCTCCATCACACGCGCAACTGACCAGATCAACACTTCTGGATTCCACCCATTCGTACCTGTACAGTAGAAATACACTGTACATGTGATTTGTAGGCGCCCGTCAATCATATCCAGGCCGCCAATGAGAGAGGAGTCCTGATCTGGCTGTCCAATCAGAGTTTAGGGACGTAACCTGACGCTGAAAACCTGAAAAGCTGAAATAATGTTAGAAAAACAATACGCTTTTAACTTAGCACACATTTTTCCACACAGTATTTTCACATGGTGTTGACTTTAGTACAGTGGCAATATAGTTAATTATTTGGCAACAACATTCGTCTTGATTCATTCGTAAGTTTTTTTATCTATTAATATATTTGTATATATGTATTTATTTATTGCTGTCCTAACTGAGCTTGTGTAATTTGCTCCAAAGCTTTTCAATATAATTTGATAACCTATTTAACTCTCAGCTTTAGGGAACTTTTTTCATTTTCTTTACGTTCACGTCGAACTTTTATTTTGACTCAGGACCACACCGGAAGTACTTGTCTCGTGTCCATGGTGCGTGGTTCTCAGTGCTCATGATCGTTGTCGATTATTATTAGAAGTATCGATGGATATTGAATAAGTAATTCTTAGTTAAGTGTAAAATACACCACAAGCATGGCTACAAAACGTAAAGCGGATGTACCAGTGCCTGCAGAAGAGAGTGATCAACTCCTCATAAGACCACTGTGAGTTCAGTTCATTCATACTGTGTTCAATACTAGTTCTATTCCGCACCAAATGTTTTGCTGACTTACTGTTTAACTTGCAGTTTTCAAATAATAAATACAATATCTAACAGGACCAAAGTGTTATTAAAGAAGTTCTGCACCCGTGTTAATACTTTCTCTGAGTACTGTAACTAGTACAGTGGGGAGAATATTTATTTGATCCCCTGCTGATTTTGTAAGTTTGCCCACTTACAAAAAAATGAAGGGTCTGTAATTTTTATGGTAGACCTGAAACATACCGCCAAGGCAACAAAGGAGTGGCTCAAGAAGACGCACATTAAGGTCATGGAGTGGCCTAGCCAGTCTACAGACCTCAATCCAACAGAAAATCTGTGGAGGGAGCTGAAACTTTGAGTTGCCAAACGACAGCCAAGAAACCTTAAGGATTTAGAGAGGATCTGTAAAAAGGAGTGGATCAAAATCCCTCCTGAGATGTGTGCAAACCTGGTGACCAACTACAAAAAACGTCTTACCTCTGTGCTTGCCAACAAGGGTTCCTGCACCAAGTACGAAGTCATGTTTTGCTTGGGGATCAAATACTTATTTCACTCACTGAAATGCAAATCAATTTCTAACCTTTATATAATGTGTTTTTTCTGGATGTTTTGGTTAATATTCTGTCTCTATACGTTCAAATAAACTTACCATAAAAATTAGAGACCCTTCATTTCTTTATAAGTGGGCAAACTTACAAAATCAGCAGGGGATCAAATAAATGGTTTCCCCACTGTATATCTTCTTGACTGTGATGTTTCTAACAGAGGAGCTGGTCAAGAGGTGGGCAGGTCCTGTATCATCCTGGAGTTCAAGGGCCGTAAAATCATGGTAAGCAATATTTAGTGCTCTATCCTAATTTTGATGCTTTTGACAGATATATTTTTGACATGTAATGTCTTTGCAGCTGGACTGTGGCATCCACCCTGGATTGGAGGGCATGGATGCATTGCCTTACATTGATTTGATAGACCCAGCTGAGATCGACCTGCTCCTCATCAGCCAGTGAGTCCCTTTCTCTAAATGAAAGATATCATTGATATTTAACTATCTGCTGACCTCCTCTTTTTCTCTGCCAGTTTTCATTTGGATCACTGTGGAGCCTTGCCATGGTTTTTACAAAAGACAAGTTTCAAAGGGAGGACTTTTATGACCCATGCCACCAAAGCCATTTACCGCTGGTTGCTTTCAGACTATGTGAAAGTCAGGTACACCAAAGCGCTTGTTTCGATAAAACAGCACTTTCAATTTTTTCTTTTTTATAAAGAACCAGCTCTAATATATTGTATGTTTCCTTGATTCTGAAGCAACATCTCAGCGGATGATATGCTGTACACCGAGACTGATCTAGAAGAAAGCATGGACAAGATTGAGACCATCAACTTCCATGAAGTGAAAGAGATGGCCGGCATCAAGTTCTGGTGCTACCACGCAGGTCATGTTTTGGGAGCAGCCATGTTCATGATTGAGATTGCAGGAGTGAAGGTAGGTGTAGTTATTTCCTTCAGCTCTTTTCAGTAACACTCACACTCAGTTTGTACTAATGATCATGGTCATTCTCTTCAGCTACTGTACACAGGAGATTTCTCACGTCAAGAAGACAGACATCTCATGGCAGCTGAGATTCCCAGCGTCAAACCAGACATTCTCATCACAGTATGTACTAGCTGGTGACATGATTTCTTTTTTTATTTGTTATTTACAAAAGAAATACATTACAACATGTTTTATGCCCGTCAAATTTTCTGTTCATGTAGGAGTCTACATATGGCACACACATCCATGAGAAGAGAGAGGAGAGAGAGGCTCGTTTCTGTAACACGGTTCATGACATAGTGAACCGTGAGGGCCGCTGTCTCATCCCTGTGTTTGCTTTGGGTCGAGCCCAGGAGCTGCTGCTCATTCTAGGTAAAGTCCAGCAGTTCAGACTCTTCAGCTTCATCTTCAACAATGACACACTGAAGTTCTGCATGTCCTCTGTTTCAGATGAATACTGGCAGAATCACCCTGAACTCCATGACATTCCCATCTACTATGCCTCATCCCTGGCAAAGAAGTGCATGGCGGTGTACCAGACCTACGTGAACGCCATGAACGACAAGATCCGCAAGGCCATCAATGTTAACAACCCGTTTGTCTTCAAGCATATCAGCAATCTTAAGGTTGGCATGTGCACAATCTATGAATAGACCAGACAGAACTTAGATTTTAGTTTGGTTTTGTAATTTTGTTAGTTGCTAGTTTTTGTTTTAAAAAATATTTCTATCTATTTTGATTTCTTTTTTATTTCAATTTTTGTACTTATTTCAGTTAGTTGCCAAGAAAGAAGTAATTATCTAATATTTATATTTTCTTTTGATTTTGAGTCTTTCATTTTTATGTTTTCTGTGTTCATTTTAGTATTAGTAATTTTGTTATAAAAAATGTATTTATTGTTTCTATATATTTTACTTTATTTTTATGTCAGGTGTTTTCTCTCTTTTTTTCACTTTTTGTAGTAGTTTTGTAGTACTTCAACATATTTATTTATTTTAATTGCCAAGGAGATTTTTTTAAATATAATATTTATATATTTTTTATTTCAGCTTTAATTCAGTTACCAACAAATAATTGTAATAGTTTTAGTTATCAATAACAACACTGGTTCAATAGGAAATACAAGTTTCATAATCCAAAATTGTATCTAATTTGTATAAACTTGTGTCTTGTCCTCCAGAGTATGGACCATTTTGATGACATTGGCCCTAGTGTGGTGATGGCATCTCCGGGTATGATGCAGAGCGGTCTTTCCAGAGAGCTTTTTGAGAGCTGGTGCACCGACAAGAGGAACGGTGTCATCATAGCGGGTTATTGTGTGGAAGGAACGCTCGCCAAGGTGAAGCTCCTCAAACGTCAGCAACAAGATCACCACAGATCAGCATCAGGTTTCTTATGAATGTCCTCACCCTGTTTTCTGTGCAGCATATCATGTCTGAGCCAGAGGAGATCACCACCATGTCCGGACAGAAGCTTCCGCTGAAGATGTCCGTGGACTATATCTCCTTCTCTGCTCATACAGACTACCAGCAGACCAGCGAGTTCATCCGAGCTCTGAAACCTCCTCATGTGGTAAGTGATAATATCATAAGGCAGCAGGCCATCAGGTTCTAGATCAGGTGTCATGTTATTGCTGTGGTTTTCAGATCCTGGTTCATGGAGAGCAGAATGAGATGGCTCGACTGAAAGCTGCTCTGATAAGAGAGTATGAGGACAATGATGAGGTTCACATCGAGGTGCACAACCCTCGTAATACTGAGGCCGTCACGCTGAACTTCAGAGGAGAGAAACTGGCTAAGGTGAGACCGCAGCTGTCATTCCTCCACGTCTCTTTAGTGTTCCCTAGTTTTCTCTGTCATACCCACAGTTAGATGCTGCTGCTGTAGTAGTTTGTCAAAATAATAATCACAAACTTCAGTTCTTCTGCCAAGTTAAATGATTGATTAGGTTCATCCAGACTATGACTACATTTTTTCTTCATTCAACTTAATAAATCCTTCATGAGATCTTAAACTTGCAAAAGATTTGTTTGAATTGAACTCACTAGTGTTTGAATCAGAACAACCAAACTACTTTTGTTTCTTGTTTTTCTTTCTTTCTTTCTTCATTCCTTTCTTTCTTTCTTCATTCCTTCCTTTCTTTCTTCCTTTCCTTTCCTTCCTTCCTTCCTTTCTCTTTCTTTCTTTCTTTCTTTCTTTTTCTTTCTTCATTCCTTCCTTCCTTTTTCTTTCTTCCTTCCTTTCTTTCTTCATTCCTTCCTTTCTTTTGTTCTGGTAATTTTGAATAAACCAGTCACGAATGTACTCGTTTAACTCAGTGAATCATGACATCAGTCTAGTTACTAATATTAATTCATAATAATAATGAATAATGTTGATATTATCAACTGATGTAAACTTTTGCAGTATAAATTGTTATAATGAGAGGCTGTTGCAATAAATACATTCAAATAAGCTAGAAAAAAAATCACATTACAAGCACTGCATAGTTAAGTCCTTTTATGAATCTTTAATTTCTGTGATGAATCCTTTTTGTCCTTTTTCTAATTTCTTTCCTTGCAGCAGGCCATCAGGTTCTAGATCAGGTGTCATGTTATTGCTGTGGTTTTCAGATCCTGGTTCATGGAGAGCAGAATGAGATGGCTCGACTGAAAGCTGCTCTGATAAGAGAGTATGAGGACAATGATGAGGTTCACATCGAGGTGCACAACCCTCGTAATACTGAGGCCGTCACGCTGAACTTCAGAGGAGAGAAACTGGCTA